TCAGTCTGTGTATTTTGTTCCAAGCCTCCCTTATGTATAGGGTAAGAAGCTTATAGTAATAATGTTTTTATTTAGTTATTATGTTTTTAAATTTCCCCAAGATTTTCTTTTCTTTTTTTTTTTTTTTTTTTTTATTCTCAGGTACTTGGTAATTTCCTGTTATAAGTCTATCAATGATACCTAGTTTAATTACATTATTATCAGAGAACATATTTGGTATGAGTTCAGTTCTTTAAATCTTTTAGTGCTAGCTTTGTGAACCAGTATTCTGTTTTGGAGTATGTTCTATGAGTGTTTTAAAGACTGTCCAGCGTCACTAGATAATACTCAGCCTGTTCCACATAATTGTCTTTGCTCTGAAGTCTACCTTATTAGATATATACGTACTTCAGAATTTTTTTAGCGTTTACATATTATGTCTGTCTTTGCTCCTTTTTTTTTTTTTTTTTTTTTTGGTCTTTTTGAGACAGGGTCTCCCTGTAGCCCCAGCTGTCCTGGAACTCACTATGTAGACTGGGCTGGCCTTGAACTCACAGAGATCCACCTGCCTCTGCCTCCCAAGTGTTGAGATTAAAGGCATGCGCCACCACACCCGGCCCTTTGCTCCTTTTTTACTTTTAGTATTTATCTCATTATAGATCAAGTTTTTTGAATAGCACATAGCTGGGTCTTCTTGTTTTCTAGCTCATGTCTTTTTAAAAGGATTCTATTTATTTTTATTTTATGTGTATGAGTGTTTTGCCTACATGTATGTAAGTGCAGTAAGTTCATGCCTGGTGGCTGAGGAAGCCAGAAGAGTGCATTGGATCTCCTAGAACTGGAGTTAAGGACAGGTGTTAGCCACCACGTAGGTGCTGGGAACTAAACCCAGGCCCCAATCACGTTTTTGTATTGGTGTGCTTATCAACGCATTTACCTTTAAAGGAATTGTAGATGTTAGGACTAAGATTTCCAGTTTATATGTTCATTGTATGTTTCTTCTATTTCTATTTTCTGTTTCCTCTTTCTTGCTTTCCTTCCCATTTATAGAACAATTTTAGGATTCAAGTTATATATAATCAGCTTTTCCCTAACAGCTCTATTGAGATATAATGCCCATTCCATACAATTCACCAATTTAAAGTGTATAGTTAAATGGTTTTATGTAGGTACATAATTAATTTTTTTGTTAGTCTTTTTATTGATTGTTTTTTTGACAGGATCTCCGTAGTCACAGCTTATCTGAAAGTCATGATGTGAATCAGAGTGGCCTCGTTCTTGTAGAGATCCACCTGTCTCTGCCTCCCAAGGGCTGGGATTAAAGGCACATGCCACCATAGCTGGCCTATAATTAATTTTTTACATAATAATTTTTAAACAATTTCATTACCTACCCCCAAGAGATCTTATACCCTATAGCAGGAACTAGCTCGAATCCAACAGACCCTTGAAGTTGTAGGCAACTGCTAATGTACTTTCTGCTTCAGTAGATGTGTCCCTGTCAGACGGTGGAGATGCAATCATACAACACATAGTGTTTGGACCAGCTTCTTTCACTTAATATAATGTTTTCAAGGTCCATCCATGGTGTGGTATATATTGTACCCTATTCCTTTTGTTGAGTAGTATTATAGTTTGTGGATATACAGGATTTTGTTTATCCATTCACACAGTTGTATACTTGTGCTTTTTGGCTATAATGAATAGTACTGTTACAGACATTTGTGAACCTGTGTTTGTGTGGATACATTTAATTTCTTTTGGGTATTCATTCAGGGGTGGAATTGATGGATCAAATTGCTACTCTAGGATTGTTTTCCAAAGGGGCTATACCATTTTAAATTCCTTCTAACAGTATATGAGGATTTTGATTTCTCCATATCCTCGTTAATATTTGTTATCACATGCCTTGTTATGATAATTATTCGAGTGTGTTAAAAATTACCTCCCAGGGCTCAGGGACCATTGCAGAAGATGGGGTGGAACGAGTATAAGAGCCAGCGAGGAGATGCATGACCATATGGAAATAGAGTCCTACAAGCTTCTGGGACCCTGCTCATATGAACCTACAGCAATGGTGTCAGCATGCATAAGACTGCATTATGCAAACTCAAGCAGACAAAAATCCATCATAGAACTGGGGAAATGGACAGCAGACCCCAGTCTTATTTGAAGAAATGATAACTGATTACTACTGGGTAAGGGAGCACTGATCTTCCTAAAGCAAGGGACTCTAGATAGACTGACTAGACCTCAGTAGTTATTCTTGTTTATATGTTTTCTATCTATTATTCAGCTTGGATAACTTCTATTGGTCTGTCATCAAGTATGGAGATTCTTTCCTGTGCCATCTTCATTCTGCTATTGCATAATTCAGTGAAAATTTTGTTTTGATTATTTTATTTGGTTATGTACTTGTTTATTAGATGTTTACTTTTAGGAGCTGGGCATGTGATGCATACTTGTAATCTCTGCACTTGAGAAGTTAAGGCAGGAAGATTATGAATTAGAGGCCACCCTTGGCTATATAGTGAGTCCCTGTCTTAAAAAGCAATAAATAAATATTTAAAATGTTTCCTTTGGTTCATATTTATATTGCTCTTTCTTTCTTGGGACTTTGTATTTCCTCTTTTGCTTCAAGAGTGTTTGTAATAGATTGTTGGAACATTGTTGTGATAATCATTTAAAATATGTGTGAGGTTTGTAATATCTGTGTCATCAAAGAATTGGTATCTGATCATTGTCTTTTGTTAATATTTTTGTGATGAGTTATTTAATAATTTGGGGCTATCTTTGACATTTTATATTTGACATTATGAGACTGGATTCTATATAAGTATTCTATTTTTTGGTAGATTAACAGCCTGTTTGATGTAGAATAAACATTCTGTTCAATTTTGTGGATTTGGTTCAAGTGTCAGCTTGGTTTTCAGAGCTCTTACAGAGTTTGTTTGGTCTGCCTCCTTCTGCACTACCTACCCCAGTTTAGGACCTGGGTACTATTCTATCTTTAGATCAGTTCTCTGAGCTTTTTCTCTTCTGATCTTAGTCAGTTTCACATGTGATCTTGTCAGGTTTGTCCATGATCCCATGCACCGGTTTAAAGAACTGCTTTCTCCAGGTTCCTCTTCTCCATATCCTCCTCTACTCCCTAATTAAGAAAGGGTAAGATACTACCTCATTGCTACCCTTTGCTTAATTTAGGGTATGGTAGCTGACAGGGCTTCTCCTGAGCACCTAGTGGAGGAGAAAGGTATGATATCTTTTAATGTATGTGAATTGAGTAGAGCAGGTACAGACAAAGGATTCATGTGGCATCCCCAGGGCCATGTACTTCCCCAGGGTTACCTATTTCCCCATCTGTTGAATAAGGGTGACATTTGGTCTGGGCCTCTTGGTATTTCCAGATTTGAGGCTACTCTAGCAACAAGCTGGCTATGCATAGGAGGCACACACATGCATGTACATACACACACACACACACACACACACACACACACACTTAGGCCATTTATTACCAGATTGTCTCTGAAGTTTGGCCGTCCTCTTTTCATTTATTTTGGGCAGGGTTTTAGTTGTAATTAGCAGGAGGATCAGGATACTGTACATTTGCTCCATTTTGCCTAGAAGAGGAACCGAAACATGATTTTCTTTAATCACTCATAAAAAAATTTACAATGCCTACTCTATGTTTAGCACAAAAGGAGTATTTGTTGGGGCTGGAGAGAGGGCTCAGCAGTTAAGAACACTGGCTCCTCTTGCAGAGGGCCCCAATTTGGCTCTCAGCATCCACATGGTAGGCTACAACCATCCCAAACTCCAGTTCTAGGGTATCTGAGCCATCTTCTGGCCTCTATAGGCACTGCATGCATGTGGTGCACTCATACATATAAAAATAAGTAAATCCAAAAATTGAAAAAGAAGTGTTTGTTGACAAAAGGAAAGAGTGAGGGAGAAACATGAGTAACTCCGTATCTCAAAATGTTTATCCAATATATAAAAACATGTAGGAAACAGCATATTTAAAAATGAAATGGAGATCTTCTTTAAAGAGTAAAAACTCATTCAGTTTTATATCTTACAGGGTTTATACTTAGTTCAATATTGTATAAATGTATTAATTCAACTGTGAACTTAAAAATTTACAGCCACTTTTAAAGAAATGTATCCTTGCTCTGGTGTGTGTTACTGAATATGTTAAAGCTGTAATGAAATGCTTCTTCTAATCATGTGGTTATTAAATTTTTTAAAAATTAAAAAAAAATAATTCTTCAAAGCATAAAAATTTGCTCCTTCATAATCAGTAGGTATGAAAAACATTATCATTGAAATCTACCTGGCTTTATATCCATGCTCATATGCCAAGGATCTCAGAAAGTAACCGACTGTGACTAGTAATAATCAGATATATAGAGATTAGAAATGCATGTGCAAACATCTTAGTGTTAATTGCATTAAAAATGAATTTTTCTGTATGAAACTATGTATTTTAATAATGAAATAGAGCTCTTTTTAAAAGGTTAAAACCTCATTTAATTTTATGTCTTGTAGGGTTTATACTGAGTACAATATTGTATAATTGTATTAATTCAACTGTAAACCTAAAAATTTACAGCCAATTCTGAAAAAGATGCATCTTAGCTCAGAAAATTGTTATTGAATATGTCAATGCTGTTGTAATGAAATGCTTCTTCTAATTATGTGGTTATTAAATAAATAATTTTAAAAAATGTTTATTCAATATAATGTAATAAGAAAGAACATGACCACTGGAGTCATCAATGAGTTTGTATTTAGTTCTGCCATCTACTTTCAAAATGAATGTAAATAATAAACTTCTCTGAGCCTCGGTTGTCCATGCTATAGGAATGATAATATCTACCTCATAGGATAAATTAAAATGAAATTATATACTCCATGGATCTAAGACAGTATGTAATGATAAGGATTTAGGAAATGTTTTCCTATTTGTATTAGAACTAAGAACATTTTTTAAATATCACTGTTTCTTGTACTTACAGGAAACTCTGCTCTTAAAGACAAAGAAGACCAATTTGGGAGAACACCTCTTATGTATTGTGTGTTGGCAGACAGACTAGACTGTGCAGATGCTCTTCTGAAGGCAGGAGCAGATGTCAACAAAACTGACCACAGCCGGAGAACTGCCCTCCATCTTGCAGCTCAAAAGGTGAGAACTAAAATTACTTTGATGAGGAACTGTTGTGTGTTGCTGTTTGTTACCTGACTGGTGGAACTCTGCAGTGGACAAATATAGAAACCACACATGCACAACTCTTAGGCTTCCTGATTTTTCCCGGATTAAAGATTGAAGTACAGATAACTGAGGCTGAGGAGACAGTACAGTTGTCGAAGTGCTTACCTTGCAAGCACAAGGATTCCCAGAACTCATATTTCAAAAACTGGGTAGGGAGAGATGGGCAGATTCTTGGGGCTCACTGGCCAGCCATCCTAGCCTAATCTGCAAGTTGCAGGGCAGCGAAGAAACCCTGTCTCAACAAAAACCAAGGTGGATGGTACCTGAGGAACCACAGCCAGGGTTGAGTTGTGACTTCCACACACTTAAACATGCACCTGCATACACATACATGTACACACTCACAGTCCATGTGTGGCGATAAAATAATGACTAAACAGAAATATACAAAAGTGTTAATAGTGGTTAGACTCAGATATTGGAAATGCATATGAATTTATTTATGTTTCATAGTTTCTTTATTTTTCCTTAATGAACATTGCTTTTACAATCAAAAGTTGCAAACCCTTTAGAAATATGTGTCATTCGGGTCATAAAGAAATTTATTTTATAGTGTACTTTCAAGTTTTAAAAAATCTAAAATTATATTTTCAATATCAGTGATTTCAAGGGTGTTTTTTTTTTTTTGTTTTTTTTTTTTTCGGTCTTTTTGAGACAGGGTCTCCCTGTAGCCCCAGCTGTCCTGGAACTCACTATGTACACCAGGCTGGCCTTGAACTTAAAGGTGTGTGCCACCACGCCTGGCAATTTCAAGTTTTTGAAGTTGTTACAGAGTTCAAATTTTTAAGATTAAACATATCAAAAAGATAAAATCAGAAGCTTCTAAATTAAAGCCTTACCTAACAAATTGTTTTCCCCTCCATAAAATTTTGCTTTATAAGATATATTTCCAATACATGGTATTTTTCTTTTTGTTATTTTAGGCTTCATATTTTTCGGAGGACAAAAGCAATGAAAATGAGTTAGAGCCAGTAGAAACTATTAGAGTTATTTCCCATTAAAAATATGACCAGATAGGGCCGATTAATTGAGGGGTTCGAAAAATACCTTTTCATTAGCTGAATGCATAAAAGAGGTTGACATTATGATCTGCTGCTGAATCTGTTCATCACATGCTCTGATCAGTGGGGCTGTCAGGCTATTTCCAGTTACTTCTCCTGAATTTGCTTTTCATTATAGTAATTTCTAAAAAAAAAAAAACCCCAAAAAACCACTCTCATTTTCAATCTCAGTTTTAACTGCTACTCAAGTTTTTAAAACCTTTCACCTAGGCTTGCCATTATTCACTTGGGAAAGGCAACTCCATTTAAATTGTTGTCATAATAAGAAAAAAAGAAAGGCACAGAAGGAAGGAAGGAAGGAAGGAAGGAAGGAAGGAAGGAAGGAAGGAAGGAAGGAAGGAGGGAAGGAAGGAAGGCTGACCATTGGGAATGGTTCCAATGTTAAGAATTTGATGCCCTTTAGGCTTTTCATTATGATTCATTGAGGTGTGAAATTCAACCTTTAAAATGTAGGATGGGGGAGAGGCACTAGAGGAATGGCTCAGTAGTTAAGAGCATTGGCTGCTCTTGTAGAGGACCCAGATTCTGTTCCTAGTACCTACATGGAGATTAACAACCATCCTCTTCTCCAGTTCCAGGAGATCCAATGCCCTCTTCTGGCCTCCTCAGGCATTGCACAACACAGGTGCATTTATATACATGCAGGCAAAATGCTCATACATAGAATAAATAAATAAATAAATAAATAAATAAATAAATAAATAATTGTAATGTAAGTTAGAAGACCCTAATATCAGGTAGATATTTGGGGGCAAAATGAGGATTTAAGCTGATGATCTAATACCATGATATTTTTGCAGGAATACTGTGACCAACAGGGTTCACAGAAGAGGCACGCCTCAGCAGATAAGTTAGCTCTATTGGATGCAGTACATTATTTTCTGTTGCATTTTATTTCCATGATAATTTTTGCTTGTTTTGCTTGGTTTTGTTTGGTTTTTTGAGAAGGGTCTCAAAGTGCAATGTAAACTGGCCTCAAACTTGTTCTGGGTACAGATGCAAGGAAGCCACCACACTGGGCTTCCGATTTTGTTTTAGTTATTTTATATCATAAGTTTTTATTGTGTGTTTTGTGTGCATGGTGTGTGTGTGTGCACATACCACGAGCACATGTGAAGGCAGTTCTCTCTTTCCACCTTTATGTGGGTTCCAAGGACTGAACTCAGATCTTCAGGCTTGTGCAGTAAGTGCCTTTGCCCACTGAGCTGTCTCTCTAGCCTTGATTTTTGAATTACAGTTTTTACAGTGTCAAGGAATAAATATAATTAAGTCTATATGTTAGACTCTACATAAGTAAAAGTTTCATAAGTAAAAGTTTCATGATCTTTCAAGTATCTGACAATTATACATTTCCCATCTTTCTCTATTGCTATTTGTTTTTACATGCTTGCCAAGAACAGTAATGTGTCTAAGGTATACTACTATAATTTTCTGAACAAGAGTGGTAATAATTCTTTAGCACACTGCTAATCAAACCTGGGTGTTATGTTTGATTTTGTGCTTCATATAAAACACTATTTTAAAAATATTTTGTTTATTTATTTATTTTATGTGTATGTGTATATTGCCTGCATGTGGGTAAGTACACCCGTGTCATGTAATGCCCACAGAGGACAGAAGAGACTGTCAGAACCCCTGGAACTGGAGTTATGGACAGTTGTTAGCTGCCATGTAGGTGCTGGAATTCGAACCCAGGTCTTCTGCAAGAACAGCCAATGTTCTTAACCACTGAACCATCTCTCCAGCCCACAAAACACTATTTTTAAGAAACCAGAAAAAGAGCAGGCTAAGCAGGAATAAGATGTTGAATGGTCTAGAAATAATTTTTAGAGAATATTTGGAGATAATATGTCCCAAGTCTATTAAGACATCCTGTTTTTGAGAACACACAGAAACACACACACACACACACACACACACACACACACCTTCTCTTAGGAAGAATATCTTCACCTTAAATTTCAAGGTTTCCCCCATATTAAAATAAACCAAATATGATCTCACAATGAAAGATCACAAAAGACTTAAGGACACAATCTACTGTGAATGCAAGTCAACAGAAACAACATATTTAGTCTTGAAAAACAGCAGATATTAGAACCATTAGAGACACAGTATAAAATAAGCACTGATGGAATGTTTAAGGATTAAAAAAAGGCATATCAGAAAAAGAGAACCCAAAAAAGTCTTTCATGAGCATGCATCTGTTCTTGCCATGACAGCTGGTTTTAGACTAGTCAGGCTGCAGGAAATATATAACCTCGTATGTAGAAGAAAATATATATCTACTATTTAGAAGCATTGAGAACAATCAGCATAGACACAATCTGATAACATAATCATTCAGAGAAAGAAAGCCTATAAAATGAGCACCACAGTCATCCTGTCTGTCCCGTTAAAGTCAGCTGCCATATTGGAGTACAAAGGAATCCAACCTTAACAGTTGAGTTAAAGAAACCAAGGTAGAGTTAGAGATTCTAGGGGCTGAAACTTGAAGGGCAAAATGCTGGAGTGGAGGGAATGCAGAGAAGGTACCCAAAATCCTGATACCAGTTCCTTCCCGTTGTTAATGATTGATAAACTGTGCTGGCTGGGGCTCTGGTAAACCCAGCAGTAAACAACAGCAGAAAGACAAGAGCTGAACAGAGATTGTCTTTAAATTACCCTACGTTTTCTTTCACGTTTCAGTCTTTTAGTCCATAGCAAATTGATTTTTGTGTGGTGTTCCTTCCTCACGCTAAAACATACGGATAATTAAATTTTGCCAACACAAGTTCATTAATATTTAGCCAGGTAGTGTCTGCTGTGCCAGGCTTTGGTCCTATGCAACTCCTATGCATTTTTTTTTCTAATGAAAAGCCCAATGAAGCTGGGCATGGTGGCGCACGCCTTTAATCCCAGCACTTGGGAGGCAGAGGCAGGTGGATCTTTGTGAGTTTAAGGCCAGCCTGGTTTACATAGTGAGTTCCAGGACAGCTGGGGGTAAAGGGAGACCCTTTTTTAAAAAAAAAAAAAAAAAAAAAAAAAAAAAAAAGCCCAATGGAGCCATTTAGGAAATCTGGAAATAAAAGTTACATGATCAAAGTGTCTTAGAGGGACTAGCATGGGAATCAAAGCTACTTTGAAAGAGGAAGAGAATGTGGGTGCATAGTGAGATATAGTTCAAGCCGATAGAGAGGAGTTGGATCTAAGAGAGAGATCATGGAGGTGTAAATATTGATTCAACAAGTATTTGCCACATGTTCCCTATGTCATCATCATTACATAACTTGAGAGAGTTGGAAAAAATGAATCGCATATATTGGCTACAGGTAGATGCTACCAGTAACAATCCTCATTGAACTTGATTTCCTTTTGTTTAGTGAACCTCTTTTCAGGTATTGTTTATTGCACTTAACTCTAGTGTCTGTAAATTTAGACGGGTGCTGTTTGGGCTGAGAAGATAGTACTTGCCATGCCTAAATAGTACCTGAGTTTGATCCCTACAGTTCACATAAAGAGGCTGGCATAGTGGTACATGTTTATAATCTCAGCAAGGCAGAGACAGGTAGATACACCAGCCTGGCCTAATCCATGAGCTTCAGGCCAGTAAGGAACCCTGTCTCAAGCAATAAGGCAGGTGTCACCTGAGGAATGACACCCAGGGTTGACCTTTGGCCTCTACGTGCATGCATATCCTTGTGCTATGTATGTGACTATCAATTTCCACATATATGAGCATGGGTTCCTTTATTTTACATAGGTTAAAACCACTACATAACAGGTGCTATGTTGGAATACAGAGATGAAGGACATAGTTCTTAAAGCTGGCCCATCTACCTCATGCATTTTTAACACATACCAAGTCATATA